TGGTTGAAATCTTGTGTTGAATGAAAAGGATCTTGGTTCTTTCTCCTCTCTTAAGAAGAAACGAGACTGCGTTTGATTGGCCGGTCTGAAGTGAGGCTTTCATGCGTCACTCAGGAAATATAATCACACATTCACCAAAACCTGTCGTGTCAAGCTTCATTTAGGAGACAGTTACATAGTGGAGGATGTATGATCTTGTCATTACATTTCAGTAATGACAGCTTGAATTTAAGTAACAACATGAGGTCTTTTTATGCTCATACATTGGCTCTGGACTTTCTATCCTTATGCTGAGTGGATCCAATAACATGTAGGTTTAATATTTAACCAGTGTCATGGCAAAAAATATGAACACATACTACAGTTATTATTTTTTGTCTTTACTTGTTAATAATCTGAAAAATCTAATTACAGATATTCACTTTTTTTTATGATTTTAGTCAAAAAATAGTGTGTGGAAACATCATGTAGCTGCTTTGCATCGAGCAGTTCAAATAAAATTGCATTCAACACTATGTTAAATTTATTCACTTGCAATAATTTTTATTTTTATTTTTTTTCATTTTTTTTATTTGCTTTGTTCACACCAGGGGTTTGGTTTCAACAACATAATGACTGTCAGCCATCTGAAATAAATGATGACACTGAAATGGATTGAACACACAACACACTCACACTTTATTAATTATGTAGAGTCAATTTATTTTATCATTAAATACATTTTTTTTAATACATTGAGGAAAAAACATTGCGAAGATACTTGATGCTCCAAACAAGAAAGAAAGCAGGAGGTTCGAAAATACACATATTACTTTTTTTTTTCTCCAAAAATCCACATTTGAATCTATGTTGCATCTCTAAAGAGAAATAAAAACAATCTTAATTGCAGAGAAAGTACAAATGAAACAGTCCAGTCTACTGCCTTAAACCAGAGTAAACACACTCAGTCTCATCAAAGTTCTCCTCTCTTCTTGAGCTTTTTGGCAGTTTAATGCTCAAGGCAGCGTAATGAAGGCTGTCTGCATCTTGGTAGCCCTGGTGACAAAATATACAACACACACAACAATTATTATTTTTTTAAATGCCATTTAAAAGTTACTGTAAGTAAATCTAACAGTTGAACTACAGTGATAATAACGACCTGTGCATATGTGGTGGAGGGAGCTGAAAGTCCTGCTTGGGATGCTGGTTGTGAAACAGAAGAAACACTTTAGCATAAATGAACCAAGAACAGTTTAAGCTCATTAAAATAACAGTTACCTGTAGATTGGCAGTTCTTTCTTTTGTTCATCTTGTACATTACGATACCCAGTAAAACGCTCAGGATGGTGGTGAATGTCAAAGCTCCACTCAGGAAATACACCGAGACCAGAGAGTTCACCTCACCTGCCAAATCTGGACATCAGAAACAGAGCCGTCAGCTTTTTCTCTGTTCTAATATGAAGTTTAACTACAAACTGAACATTATTAACCATTTATCAAATGAGACAAGGTACTCACTTTGCTTGGTTCTGTTTCCAAACACGATGTATCCACATGAAGCAACAGCACAGCGGTGATCCATTCCCTTCATTTGCTGGTTGTAGACACACATTTGTGTGTCAGGTTTCCTCTCACAGTGATCACCCCTGCCTCCGTGGGTGTACATGATTCTTGGACGATGTTCTTCTTCACTTTTGAACCAGTAAACTCTGTGTTCTCTAGCACAGTCCCCACTATGCAGTGTGCAGCTCACGGATCCCAGTGGCTGAATGCTCTCAGATGCTGACTGGTGTACAAAAGCTTTAATGCTCAAACCGGACCCCTTTACATTGACTTCAGTTCCCTCCCCGAATTTAAACTCAAACGAAACACCGCTTGCACAGAAGTAAGTAGCCGAGTCAGAAATTTGTACATCTGAAATGTTTAGGTGGTTCTTACCACTGTTAGTTTCCAGTGTGAAGCGTGGATTGTCCTTGAACTCATCCTCAAAAATGCCATTTTTATCATATGTATAGGTAGCAGACATACGCTGTAGCCTCTGTCCCAGTGTTTGCTTATACCAGTAATACTTTACATCATCGTTGTCATGAAAAAAACATGTCAAAGTCACGTTGTCACCAACTTTAGCCTGTATATACCGTCTGTCTTGACGCACAGTTGAGGGTTGTTTCAAGTGATTCCCCTGAGCTGAAGTGAAACAGAAAATAAAGAAGAATTACTTTTAAATGACCAAAATGAACTCATACAAACATTATGTTCACATGAATGGCTTTGATAAAAGTGAAGCTCACCTATTTCCCCCAAGAACAGGCATGTCAGACATGAGAGGAACATTGGAGGTGTCATCCTGTTGAGATTGCCTTGCTGAGTGAAAAGCACATGAATACTCTGTACACTCCTCAGAGACACGACTGTGCTGATTGGTCAACAAGGCAACATGATCACATGTTCTGTAGCACCTCCAGTGGCAATTTTTGGACCTGAAGAAGAATCACGTAGGAAAATCTGAAACTCTCACACCCAAATCAACTTCCACATACAAATGGATGACCTTTATATTTACACACTAATAAGAAGATCAGTAGAGTGTACTTTACTAATGCATTTAGACTCAACTTAGCACATTTGTACAGAATGAAAACACTTTGCAAGGCTGCCTACCTAACTGACAATACAAAACCCACAGAATAAGGTGAAGAGTTGTTGTCCATCCATCCATCCATTTTCTTTCGATTATCTGGGATTGGGTCACGGGGGCAGTAGGCGGAGCAAGTCATTCCAGACTTCCCTCCCCCCGGCGACGCTTTCCAGCTCTTCCTGGGAGATCCCGAGGTGTTCCCTGGCCAGCCGAGAGATATAATCCCTCCAGCGGGTTCTGGGTCTGCCCCGGGGTCTCCTCCCAGGTGGACGTGTTCAGAACACCTCCAGAGAAAGCCTCTCCGGAGGTATCCAAATCAGATGTCCATACCACCTCAACTGGCTTCGACGTGCAGGAGCAGCGGCTCTACTCCGAGCTCCCTCCGGATGTCCGAGCTCCTCACCCTATCTCTAAGGCTGAGCCCAGCCACCCTGTGGAGGAAGCTCATTTCGGCCGCTTGTATCCACGATCTCGTTCTTTCGGTCACAACCCAAAGCTGGTGACCATAGGTGAGGGTTGGGACATAGATGGACTGGTAAATTAAAAGCCTTGTGGCTCAGTTCTCTCTTCACCATGACGGTCCAGTACAGCGCCTGCATTACTGCTGATGCTGCACCAAGCCTCCTGTGCACCTCGCGCTCCATTTTCACATCACTCATGAACAAGATCCCGAGATACTTAAACTCCCTTGCTTGAGGAAACGTGAACTAGCTCTGGGTACATGGAAGAGTTGTTGTGAAGAGACAAAGTTGGTACTAAATCAAAGTATAAACATTCATAGGAGCTGTGATCAAAAAGATTCAATACTGTGGTTATAAGAATTCAAAATGGTGACACTTTAAGTTGAATTTAAGTTTGAGGTGAAGAGGAAGAGCCGAAGCCAAATCTCACAAGCAGGGAGGGTGGGGTGAGGAGGGATGATTGTGCTGGTTTGGCCACCAAAGTCAAATGTTTTTAATACACTCTGACTGCCAGTTGCAACACAGTTCAGGTCAGTTTGCGCCGAATCTTCCCTCTTAGAAGGGTACAGCAGAACTTGGCATTGACAATCTGACCCTGGGGTGCAAATGCTTAGTGCACAATCCCATCCATCCATCCATTATCTACACACCGCTTAATCCTCACTAGGGTCGCGGGGGGCAGGAGTCTATCCCAGCTGACTCAGGGTGAAGGCAGGGGACACCCTGGACAGGTCACCAGTCTATCACAGGGCTACACTTAGAGACAGACAACCAAGCACACTCACATTCACACCTACGGACAATTTAGAATCACCAATTGACCTCAACAAGTTTGAGAGGGAGGAAGCCGGAGAACCCAGAGAGAACCCACACAAAATCTGTGCACGATCACATGAACGTCAAAAAAAAAAGAAAAGATGAGCATGACCGTGGTTACACTTTTATTAAAACGACTGCTGCTTGTTCTCAGAGTTGTAGCTGTAAACCCAATTCTCATCACCAGTGATGATCCTTGACGTTAAGTTTGGGTCATTCAGGGACGGTTTATGCAGACTTTGATACAGTGCGCCTTCTGCTCTAAACCATTTCAACCATTTCTCTGATGGCGCTGCACAGTTTTCCCTCTTTTCAATTTTTTTTTCAAAAAGGCTCCTTTGTGACTCTTTCCCCTTCCTTTCTACGTGCTGCCAAATATCGTAGTATATATCTGTAATAATCTATGGTCAACTCTTTTTTTTTTTAAGTCGACTTCATGAGCCACAAACTGAGCAAACAACAAGCCAACCTTGTTCACACACGCTCATCACTATCTATAAACTCTAGAAAATGCTGCTTTGAAACTTATTTCCAGTTCAGTCTGTGCTACTTGCAACAGCTTTTGTTTTCTCACTTCGTAGCATCTACTGGTGATTTGATATTGGTGAAGATGTTGCACTTCCTGGATTGTATTGTATTGTCTCACTACACCCACAAATGCACGCCCCTGTGTGGTTTTTATGCTGTAGACTGACTGTGAATCTCCACATGTCTAAATACTGCTGAAACCCACAAACATTACTGCAGTGAAAGAGATCCGGAGCAAAATGGCAGCAGGGCCAACAAGTCTCACTGATATGATCGCCTAATCATATCATTTTATGTCTTATCCATACTGCAACCGACAGTCACTGGAACTTTAACTCTTGTTGTGTCATTCATAGTCAGTTAGATGACAAGGCTAATTATTTTTTTAGTATGTTTAGTGTGTTCTGTAACAGTACAGCCTAGCTCACCACAAACACTCAAACCAAGGGAACAAATACCACAAAGCCTTTCAACCAACTTTCCCTCAGCAGCCGTCTTTAAATGTTCTACCATATGAAACCCCAGAGCCACATGTCGTAAGTGTGATTTCTCTCTGTTGGCAAAGTCTGTATGAGCAATGGAGTTTTTTTGTTATATTCAGTCAGATCTCTATCTTGGTCTTATCTGATTGTGTTCCCAATATTCAGCAGGCTTCTTTTCATGCATTTTAGCAAAGTTTATTCCTGCAGTTTAGCGGCAAAGTGCAAGCAAAGGAGGTCTGTTGAGGTTTATGTTGGGCACTGTGCTACGCATTTCTATTACAGAAACTCAGATTTTCATTGATGACCGCTATGCCAAGTCTGAAGCACTCGACTGCTTGTTTTTCAAAGGTGGACTGTGAAGGATTGTAAATCAACCACTGAGGCTGTCATTAAGGGTCCCATTGTTCATTCTATGCTTCCTAATTACTGCTGCCACTGTGTTTTGACTGTTTTTTAGCTGTTGAGTAATCTCCTTGTATACGTTGTCATCTTTGTTAAGTCAGACATTCCACGTCGTCCAAAAGTTTTGGTGTTTCCGAATCCTTTCATGCAGTTAGGCAACTTAAAAATCACAGGTGCACCCAATTTTTTTTCAGTGATCACATTTTTTCTAACTTTTATCCACTTTTGTTGCTCTGAGTTTCTACTTTGGGGCCTGTATTTCTAAATTATTTGTTCATCTGAGTTAAAAAGGCGAGTAGAAGGAGTTCAATGATGGAAAGCATCATTTATCCACCATATCTAACGTACTCCTTGAGGCTGGCAGCATCCGACATGACGTGAATTATATTTATGGTTGATATACTAAACACTAATGCATTTCATCACTGTTAAAGTGTAACACGACAGGATCACAATTATTAGATCTTTAATGACAAACATACATGGTACTGTATTTTTTGTTGAAAATAATATGTAAAAGCAAAAATATCAATCATCCATCCATCCATTATCTATACACAGATAACCTTCACTAGGGTAATAGCAAACATTTGTATTCAAAGTATATTTCTTTCATACTCTTTAGCATCAGTTGGCATTTCATTTTTAACATACTGGGTTCGGAAAACATAAAAAAAACATCAAAGGATTATAAAACAAAGTGGCATCGAAGACTTCCTGCTTAAAACCATATACACACACACAAACACAACTGCAAAGACAGCATCAGATACACTCTTAGCACAGCATATAGTTTGACAGGAAGCCATAAAGAGATCCTTACATCACTGGATTTATAACAACACACAGATAACAGATACTGCCCAGTATAGAGCACTGTATTTCACTGTATTGTATTGTACTGGCATTAAAATAAAACAAACTGTGGCTTATTTTTGTGGTGCTACTTAGATTTTTCACAGCGCATCACTGACAGATAGATAGCTGTAATGCAAATATCACACCTTTGCCAAAAAATAAAATACATCAGTTGTAGAAGCCTGTCGAGGTATTTTACTACAACCCAAGGCTTTGTATTGATCGACGTCATTCATAGCAGGTCTCAAAATAGATGTTAACAAAACCACCACAAAACATAAATGAAGCTCGCCACCTCTTCTACTTTACACTAGAGTACACACATTGATTGGAGGTATCTTCCCTCTGTTTTCTTGATGCATTGAACCTGTGTTCCCTTAAAGCTGCATAATGGAGGTTGTCTGCATCTTGGTGACCCTAAAACCAAAATATGTCAGCGAATCAATCACAACATGGTAACGTGCCATAACGTCTTAATAGTAATTGAAATTTTTACTAATTAAATTTGAATGATAATCACCTCAGTATTAGCAGTGGAGGGTTCTGAATATCTTGGGTTTGTGTCTGGTGTGAAACACAGAAAAGGTTATTTCAATGAAAAGCCATCTATATTGAATGCAACCCAGTTTAACACAATAGTATTAGTTACCTGTACGTTGCCAGGGGTTTTTCTTCCTCATCTTGTGCAATAAGAAAGCCATTAAAACATTCAGGATAATGGTCAATGCCAAAGCTCCACTTAAGAAAAACACAAGATGTTTGATAGAGTTCATCCCATCTGCAGAAAGCCAGACATCAGAAGATGTTACAGACCTTTGAGCGAACTTTGATGACAGAGTAGTCCTAGTGTTAGTCAGGTTTGCAGTACTTACCTGCTAATTCCGGTTTGGTACCGTCTCCGAAGACTATGTGACGGCATGAGGCAACAGCACAGTCGTGGGCTCCAGCATGAGACAGATTCATCGGCAAATTGTAGACACAGGTTTGTGTTGGTGTGTTGGGTTTCCTCATACGCTGATCATTCCTGCCTCCGTCAGTATAAATGAGTCCTGGATGAGATTCTAGTTGATTTCTGAACCAGTAAACGCTGTGTTCTCCATCGCAGGTCCCAGTATGTACTGTACAGCTCAGAGTCTCGGGGTCTCCTGGTTGGATGGTCTCAGATGCCGACTGCCTCACTGAAGTTTGTATGTTCAAGCCTGAACCTCTCACACTGACTGTAATGCCTTCTCCAAATTCAAACTTGTATGAACTGCAGCTTACACAGTAATACGTAGCTGAATCTGAAATGTGCAAATCTGAGATTGTCAAGTGGTTCTTACCGTTTTGGGTTTCTAGCGACAATCTTGAATTGTTCTTGAATTCATCACTAAAAGTTCCGACTTTATCGTGTTTATAGAAACGGGAAAGGAGCTTTGGTTTCTGTCCCAGACTTTGCTTATACCAAAGAAACACAGCTGCAACGTTACTTTGATAGAAACATTGCAAAGTCACATTGCCACCAACATCAGCTGACATGAAACCACTGTCTTGATGCACATGTCCAGGCAAGTTAGTTCCCAAGCCTGAAGAGAACAGACCAAGAAAGTTTGCAATTAAATCCATTTTATAAGGTTATCATGATGTCAACAACGAATATACATGTCTAAGAATGTAAAAGTGTTCACAAATTACCTTTTCTCCACAAGACCAGACAAGTCAGATATACAGCAAAGCTCAGAGATGTCATCTTGATCAAAAAGTCTTGACGAATGCAAAGAACCCCTTATGCGTTCTCTGCCTTTAGAGAGAGGGCTGCATTTGATTGGCTAAGATGTGACACTGAACTTCCTATTTTGGAAACAGTAAACTCATGATCTGTGCCGCCTCTATTGTCGATTTGGCTGTCAAGACAAAAGATGTTTCTTATGATGCTTAATACTGTATAGGTCAACATGACTGCAAATACTGAACATTTCAGCTTGTGTAGGTTAAATTTATTTAAGTCTTGATGACTTAAATGGTTCATTATCTGCCTATAACTAAAGAGCATAGTCGACATTCAGCAAGTGAATAGAGTTTCACGAAACTTAGCCGAGGTGAACGCTAAGATCCTGTTAACGGTCACTCAGGATATAGTCTGTATTTAAATAATACAGGGTTTTGGTGCAGCATGTTCTACTGTGTTTTTTCTTTGGTTTTCCTGTGTGTAAAGCTCTGCAGTGGCTTAAGTTTCCACCAGTGGAAAACCAGTCATACAGACATGAGTTCATATCACCTTCACCACAGGAGGGACTGAAAACACCAATGTTTTTAATCACAAGAGGGTGTAACCGTGTAAGGATTCTCTATATGTACTGCCTGCTGGCGTTTTCATGGTTGTTTGACAGAAATTATGTCCAGTTGTGGCTTTTTTTTTTTTAGGTGTTTCTCATTAAGATGTGTTACACAAATGCAGTGTCTGCATGTGGAACATTTTTGCAACCAATCCTTATGAAGCTGTTGCCACTGTTTTCTGCAGAATGTCTCATCCTTTCCAACTGTTGCAGGCATGTCCCTCCACAAGCTCTGTGCCACGTTGGAAACCCTATATTCCCCTATTGACTGACCATAGAGATGCCTGTAGAGACTGACTTGCTTCAGGCTGGAATATGTTTTTCCAATGAACGTGATACATGGAATCAGCACAAGAAAATGCATGTGGCTGTTATACTCAGCGCGGCGACTGTTACAAACTGCGGGGGGCAGTGTGTTGCAAACGCACGCATACCACAGTACTAAATTAGAGTAGAAGAAGTTTGGCATTGTTTACATCACTGACAACATGGTGACACACGCTTGTAGTTTACACAAGTTGCAGTAAATACGCCGGATTTAGCACAAGGCTAAATGCCATCTGATTTTAGCAGTTTGTTTTCTGTTCTGACATAATTATCGATAGACTTACCTCATCTGGAGGGAAATTTGAGTCAGTTTCCCTGTGCTTGAAAGCCAGCTCAACTCTCTTAAAACCCTAGGGACATTTTGGCTTCCCTTTGGGTCTCCACTTCGCCCTTTGGTGCTCTTTTATTACCTGAACGTATCTGTCCTGTAGGTTTTTCCAGGTTTTCTTCACCCATTCCTCTTCTTTACCAAGTGTGGCCGCAATTTCACGCCACGAATTGTTCATCACACGGCTATCGAAGTGGTCCCTGTGTGAAGAATCATATAAATGCCTATATTTTTGTACCTCTGCCACTAGGAGCTCCTGTTTGTCTGCCATGTTTTCCGCATGTTTCCATTTGCATTTTTAGAAATTTTCTGCTTGAAAAGGACCACGCAAGGGGGTGTGGCTGCTAAAATGATGTCATTTGTCCACACAGAGCCGCGCGGACCTCGTGGATGTATCAAGCATAAACCAGCTGTTGGTAGTTGTTTGGAAAAAAAAAATATCCACATGGCAACACGAGACAAAGAAGTTATTGGATTCATCATGTGGGAACCAGGAAAGTTTCTACCAAATTTGGTTCCAATAAACCTTTTATCAGCAGACATTTTGACATGTCATGGCAGGAAAAGCACGAATGCGTGATGATGGTAGTGGCAGGTCTGGGGGCACCTAATGGGACTGAGGGTTTATTGATTCTACCTGTGCCTTCGCCATTGTGACAAGTGGAATTCTGTCCACGAATAAGTTCTTTTCATCTGCTGAGATAATTTATGGAATAAGTGAAAATGGTGACCTGAGTTGTGCCATAGGGAGGCGGACTGTTTCCTCAGACCTGGAAAGTCCTGGGTTCAAATCAAACAGGTCTTTCTGTGTGGAGTTTGCTTGTTCTCCCTGTCCCTGTGTGGGTTTTATACTGGGTGCGCCGGCTTCCTCCCACAGTCCAAAGACATCTTTAGGTTAATTGGTGGTTCTAAATTGGCCGTGAGTATGAATGTGCATGGTTGGCCCTTCAGACAATAAAGCAGTGTATAGATAATGGGTGGACCATGGATGTACAATAGGACGTATCTGAAGTTCACCATAGTCACAAGGACCTTGGATGCTGACCTGGCAGTCAAAAATATTGTCCAACTTTCAGGTTTTTTTCTTTTGTTGCTGTTTCATTCACTTGACCTTCCCGTGGGTTCCTGTTTGAACTAAACTCTTTACATTGTCATGACATTGGGTCAGAAATATTATTTAGCTAGTCTCTGGAAGTGTGTGATTATAATACTTCCATGGTTTAAAAAAAAACTCTTTTAGAAAAAATAAAAGCTCACCTTGTTTGTAGTTGAAGGTGTTGTGTTGGCAGTTTTACAGACATCTCTTTTATGATGGTGGTCTATGGGGGGTTATACATTTTGGGCCAAAGGGGATTTTCTTTGCTGCAATAATATGAGTGGAGAATTTGAAAAAATTGCAGCAAGGCCAATATTTCACAAAAATTCAGCCATTATGTAACAAAACAAAATGTTTTAATGTCAACCTCATGATGGTGCTGAAGGAAAGAGTCTAGTAGATTCAGCCTTTGGGGATTTTGAATATCTGCACAGAATTAATCTGTCCAGTAATTGTTCAGTCAAAATGGTGGCTTGCCCGACTACTCGACATTGTCATAACAACTGTCTGTCAGGCGGAAATTTCTGTGGTGGGCCATGAAGAGAAGCTTACATCCCCAGCAAAGTGTTGATGGTTCAAGACTTCAAAGCTACACTGCGATCTTAAAGAATTTAGACCAAAACATTGCAATGATTGATTGCATATACTGTATGTAATGTTACAGGGTTTATAAATACAGATGATTTTTATCGAACTTGATTTTAACATTCTGACAGTGATCTATTCGTGTAATCTTTCAGTTGTAGCTAAGGGCGTCAGAGTTATACTGTGGGGCTGCAGTGCATGAAGACACTGCAGAGAGTTCCTGTTTGAAACCACAAAGACAAAGTGCGATTGGTCCTTGACACGTACATGACAAAAGTATACTAAGAGTTAATCTTCAACCGTCGACCACAAAAAGGCTTAAAAAAGACTCACGTCTCAGGCTTCAGGTGTACAATTAACACACTGTGTAACAATAAACAACCTGCAAGGGCTCTTGGGGAAAGTGTTTTTCAGTGCACCTAAGGCAAACACTGACAGATAATTTTCCGCCGTGTTCTGTGTAATTGTGCATTTAGAAAAGAGGTGTTGAGAAGTTTTACGAGATGTTTGTGAGCATGCAGCCATACCCGGAAGGAGTCACATCTCTGTCTGATGTTTGCAGAGGCTAGCTGATTATGTTTCTTGTACATTTCAGAGTCTGCAGTATGTGGCCTCCTTCTAGTTCTTTCCTTTAAGTTCGTAAATATAAAAATCCCAGATAAGAATTGGCCAAAGTCTTATGCTTGGCTGGTAAAAAGGGAGACACACAGATACACAAGTCATACCTAAAATCATATGTGTTCTGTCGCTCCACATCAACATAATATTCAGTGTGCCCACTCAAACAGCCAAAATTTCAGTCATTTCTGGGAAATGGAATCCAAGTTGTGTGAGTATGTCTGCAACATCAGCAGTAATGTGAGCGTTGTACTGGACCATTAAGGTGAAGCTGGAAGGCAAAGTTCTCATTTTTCCAATCTATGTTCCAACTCTCACCCATGGTCATGAATTCTGGGTAATGACTAAACAAATGAGACCGCGGATACAAACTAACAAGAAAAGATGTTCTCAAAATGGTGGCTGTGCTCAGCCTTAGGGATAGGGTGAAGGACTAGGACATCCAGAGGGAACGAAGGAAGAGTTTCTCCTCCTTTGCATTGACAGGAGCCAGCTGAGGTGGTTTGGGCATCAAGGATTCATCCTAGGTGCTATGCCTTGGAGGTTTATTGGGCAAGCTGAAATGGGATTAGACCCTGGGGTAGACCTAGAACTTCCTAGAGGGGCTACATATCTCATCTGGCCTGTGAACACCTTTAAATCTGCCGGGAGGAGCTAGAGGATGTTGCTGAGGAGAGGAACGTCTGACATTGTGATCCAATCCCGGATAAGTAGGAAAAAAAAAATGGATGGATCATTCTATGTCGATCATCAACATCAGTACAAAAAGTCATGCCAGCACGTTCAGTTGTTGAGATATTGTAGTAACTAAAGTGGTGCGTCACCTGACAGGACAACATACTTCACAACAATGCATCAAGGAAACTTTGCCACTTGTTTTATTAGTTTTCTTTCTGCAAGGCCAATCATTAAATTCAGTATATGGAGGTAAAATCTAACAACATTGCTCCTGTTTCATAAAAAAAAAAAGTGCATTGATAGACACATGTACAAAATCATCTGTTCTTATACCAAAAGAAAAAAAAACACTGAAATAACTGATAGCATATATACCAATATTACTAGTTATGATTTAATCAGTTCAAAACATGTTATGATTTTTAAAACTTTACTAATGCAATTGCTAAAATAATGTCTTCTTGTCTACCTAAACCCCCCCTCCCTGGGTGTCAGTGTTCTACTGTGTGGCTGCAATGCACGAAAACACAGCAGGTACATCCTGTTTGAGACCAAAGCGAGAGCAGAGGGTCCTAGAGATGACTGAAGTACACTAAGAGCTAAACGTTTGACTGTCAGCCACTCCCAGGCTAAAAAAAGACCCTCATGTCTCTGGGGTTGTGGCAACACGTGTACAGTAAACAAGCTGTGAGCACTAAGACATCAGTACACTTACTGCAGGGACTCAGAATTGAACAGTTTTGTTTTATGCCACGTTTTTTTTTTTTATATAGCTGGTTTATCTGACGTTTGTTGTATCCTCCCGTGAACAGGCCTGCTCTGTGTGTGAGAAGCTATTACAATGGTAGGACTCATTTCCGCGTGCTTCATGGTTGCGTGCCGAGTTGAGTGTGGTTTTTTGTTTGTGCACTGTAAAGGACGAGTGTAGCGAGAATGGAAATATGGCACCTTCAGTCACATCAAAGTAACCTGGCTTGACTGCAGCTCAAGACGGGCGTTTCATCTATTTGCAAAGCTTTACATTTAGTTTATGAAGAAGACATCTGACAAAACCTGTCATTTAGGTTCACACAGAAGCAAAGTACAAATGAAAAAATACAATCTAGTGCCGTACACCGGAGTATACACATTCACTCAAGGTGTTATCCTTCTCCCTTCTTGATCTGTTGACCTTGTTGTGCCTCAAAGCAGCATAATGGAGGCTGTCTGCATCTCGGAAGCCCTGGTTGTAAAATATAGAAAAGTTAGTTGCTATATTACTATGTGTCATGATTAGTATACTAGTGCACTTTGGTGCAAATCAACATAGCCCTGCAACAATAACTTGTTTTTTAAGTTTTCAATGTCACATAAAAAGAGAACTACTTTCTCAAATAATGCAATTTGCTGTAAAAACAACTGCGATGTCTGAATACACAACTTACACAAAAATTTTGATGTTATGATTTCATAGACCTTCAAGAACTTCATATTTAACACTTAGCAAACATTTGCGTGTTCAGTCTGATGCTATGCAGTGCAACAAGTTGCTGCACTTTGAACATGCTTACGTCTGCATTTGGAGCTGAGGCAGCTGAAGATGTCTCTTGAGGCTCTGTTTGTGAAAGAAACAACAAAAAAAAATGTCTTCAACATGTCATGAGCTGAAGCTAGAATGAGTCTTGTAAGTGAGCTGGATCTTTTGGACCAAAAGTAATGAACCACTTATCTATTGTGCAATTGAAGTGTGACAGATATAGATATATAAAATTAAATGATTGAATGAACAAAAGCAGTAAAGCCACTTTATAACATAAGTAAACCAGTAGTAAAAGTAATAAACCAGTTGTATTAACCTGTAGCCACAATGCATAGTACAACACTGATGATTTTATAATTGCAAACTATATATAGGATGTTACACAAATGGGCACAAATGAGCATGTTAAAACTGAACTCTGTGCTATTCACACCTTGTCTGAACTCTGAAGTCAGAGTCGTCAAAGGGATTTCACATCAAGTAACACTATAGGATATGTCAGTTATCCGACAGTAATATCACATTCGTCCAACGTGCACTGAAATGTAAAGAATGACAGTTTTGCCTACCTGGGCATTTGCGGCTCCTTGTCTTGTACACCGTATATACTTTGTAAGCCAGCACAACTACCAGGATGGTGCTGAATCCCAGAGCTCCACTCAAGACATACACCAAGACTCGAGAGAACACCTCCTCTGCAGAGATCCACACATGAGGAGACATCACAGAATTTAGCATCAAGCACTATTTTACAAAGACGGCAATCTTTGCTGGACTGGTACCGACCATCAAAGTCCAACTTGGTCCCGTTTCCAAACAGAATGCGTCCACATGAGGCAACAGCACAGTAGTATGTTCCAGCATGAGACTGGTTCAGGCTCTTCAGTGGCAGGGTGTAGGCACAGGTTTGTGTTTTTGTGTTGGGCTTGCTCTCACACTGATCGTTCCTGCCTCCATGGGTGTAAATGAGTCCTGAATGAGAATTTTCTCTTTTTTTGAACCAATAAACACTGTGTTCTCCATCACAGGTCCAAGTCTGTATTGTACAGTTTAGAGTCACAGAACCTCCTGGTTGGATGGTCTTAGATGCCGACTGCTCAACCAAAGCTTGGAAGTTTTGACCTGAACCCTTTACATGGACCATTATTCCCTCCAAATATTCATACACGTATGAATAGCAACTTATACAGTAGTAAGTAGCTGAGTCTGACATCTGCACATTTGATATCTTCAGGTGATTTTTACCTCTGCCAGTTTCCAGATGAAAGCGTGGATTGTTGCTAAACTCATCACTAAAAGTGCCATTTTTGTCATGCTTATAGTATTTAGACAGCAGCTGTGGTTTCTGTCCCGGGGGTTGCTTATACCAGAAAAACATCACTTCAAGAGTGTTTTCTTCATACAAGCATTCCAAAGTCACGTCGTCACCAGCGTTAACTGATTCAAAACGTAAAGCTGACGATCGTTTCGGGGCTGTCAAATGAGCTGAAGACAAAATGAAGACAAGCAAATTAATACATTAAAAGCTTACTAAAAGTATATTGTAAAGCTAGTAACACAATATTAAAAAAAGAAACAGCTTACCCATAGTTCCCAAGAGCAGACATGTAACACAGAAAGAAATCACTGGAGGTGTCATTTTGTTGGAATTGCTCTGGTTCACTGAGAGAATCTCACTACGTTCTCTACACTTCAGAAATAAGGCTGTGTTTGATTGGCCAATCAGAAATGACTGAACCATCACATGATCAGTGCCCCCCTACAGTGCTACTTTTGGTTTATGAGAAGACGTGGGAGTAGAATGGATAAAGATGCTTGTGAAAGAGCAAGTAATGAGGATTTATGAAGGAACATGTACACAAGGTCCACATTATTGCCTGCTCTGTACATGTAACCAATATCTTCTAAAGTGAGTGTGGTGCAATCTGCTGCAGGTGACAAATGAAAGGAAAAACCAACAGACGGTGTGTTGGTAAATTGTTGGCCACCATGTGCCACCAGAACAAGCTTCAACACCCCTTGGCATTGATCCTCCGAGTTTTTGGAACTCCACTGGAGAGATGAAAACCAGCCAGTTGGATAATCACATGAGTGGACACAACTGTGGCAGGGAGCGATCCATCTGCAACTCATCACCATCTGCGATAAAAGCCACGCTCATACCACTACAAACCACACTGGACCGTAAACTACAACACTTCT